TAGAAAGTTCTATAAAGACATTTCTGAAACTGTTTGCTTTTCACTTACTGATTCAAGTTGCTTCCAGCAAGTCTCTATGTGCTGCTGTGCCTTACGTCCATCATGAAAATGCTGGAAGAGAGAAAATATACCCGTGATTAAGTACTCCCTCTTTTTCATATTAATGCATGAGAAAAAAATTTTCACTCACTTAAATGCTGAAGTATTGAACATCTACTACGTGCACTCCAAATAAATGTAAGAGTTAAAAGATAAATTAAAATGGATATGAAAACAATTGTCACAAAGTTCCCTTTAAAATTTGATATAATAATATTGAATTCTATATACACCAACATGTAAAATCTACAGGAATGCTTTATTAAGACAGCAATCTGTTGGTTCTTTTTTTAAACAGCTTTACTCAGATATAATTCATATGTCATACAATTCACCCAAGTAAAGTATACAATTCAATGGTTTTTAGTATAGTCACAGACATACAACCAGCACCACAATTTTAGAACATCTGAATCACTCCAAAAAGCTTTAGCCTTCATCCTCCAGCCCCAACCCATCTTCCTACTAACCTATTTTCTGTCTCTATAGATTTGCCTATTCTGGACATTTGATATAAATAGGATCATATAACGTGTGGTCTTTTGTGGCTGGCTTCTTTTCACTAAACATGTTTCAAGGTTCATCTGTTATAGCATGTATCAGTACTTCATCCCTTTTATTGCCAAATATTCCATTGTATAGCTATACCACATTTTAGTTTATCCATTCATTAGCTGATGGACATTTAAGATGTGGAATTTCCAGTTTTTTACTATAAACATTTATATAAAAGTTTTGTGTGTATGGACGTTTTCATTATTCAGATTTTTTTTAACTTAAAGACAAATTCACCTCCCTGCTATCTGCAAAGGCCCTAAGGCAGGCAGGAGCAAGCGTCAAACAGCAAACACACCAGTGGGGCTGGAAAGGTGAGCATCAAGGAGAATACTAGGAAATGAGGTGAGAGAAGAAAGGGCGCAATTGTGTAGGACCATGTACAGGCTTTTTGTCTAAATGAACTGGGGACTTCGAGTAAAGTACCATGTGGTGGAAGGAGGATTCCAGGCGGGAGGCTGTTCTAACAACTTTGCAGATGACACTGACTTGGGCCAGGCAGTGAGAAGAGGTCAGATTCCGGATGTATTCCGATCAGTAAAACCACCAGGATTTGCTGGCAGATGGGATCAGATGTGGGCTATGAGATAATGAGATGTCCACAGTGTCCAAGGCTGCTGGCCTGAGCTTTAGAAGGAGAGGGAAAACTGAGAGGAATGGGTTTGAGGAAGGAAGATCAGACTCTTAGGTTTAGATGTGTTAAAGTTGCTATTTCTATGAGACACCCCCCAACCCTGCCACAACTGGAGAGTCTAATAGGTAGGTAGTTGGATGTATGAACCTGAGTTTGGGGAAGAGACAGTATAAAAAGATACTTTGTCATTGTCATAAAGTGGGTAGTTAAAGCCATGAGACTGGGTAAGATCACCATGAGAAATGAAGATACCATGGAAAAGCCTGCTAGAAATACACAGAAATATTAAGAAGACAACGTCTTTTTTTTATTCAGTGACCTGAAATCACCAATGTTTCCCAAATCCTTTAATATCCTTCAACTGTAACATCACTGACTTAGTCCGTGGCAATTAACAGATATGCTGGGTGTTTTCCATATCCATTCTCTACCCTCTTCAGTGTCCCAATACTGACCTGCAGGGATCAAAAGGATGGGCCCCAACAATGGGCCCCCTTGCCCTCTGGTTCTGATTAGAGTCGCCATAGAGAGGCTCCGGCATATCAGGGGCGGGAATTTATACCTGTGGCATCCCCTGGCTAAGATGCCATGATTGACTCTCAACCAAAGGCCACAGCTCTGGTCAGGCAGCCCTCTCCATACAACTAATCATAAAGTCCCTATAATGCCCCCTGCCCTGCCCTTTGAGTCTTACCAGCCCTGCGGCACTGCATCATCCCTTATTGCTGTCCCTGAACTCTATCCACAACATTGTAAATGTTCCTTTAAATAAAGGACCTTCCTCCAGTTACTCAGTTTGAATGTGTTGTCGGATTTCTGCCTAACAAGGCAAGCATTGGTGGTGGAGTGTGCTATGGGGAAGGGGAAGTAAAAGAATGACTGAGATGAAGAGGTCCCTTAAATGCAATCTCAGAGCTTTTATTTTACCTAGTCAGAACCTACGATTAGCTAAGTCACCAACAATAACTGACTACTGAGGTTGGGGGTGGGAGAAAGGTGGACGGGGGGAGACAAAATCAGATTTTTTTTTTTTTAAAAGAACAGTGTTCCTTTATAAGGGAATGTTTTCTTGCCTCTTCTTTGAGGTCACACTTCACTCTGTTTTAAACATCTCTTTGCAGCAAGTTTTATCCATTTGACAATCTTTTTTGACATCTACGAACCCAAGACGGGCTGCTTGGGGCTTCATTTTTCAACTTTCATAATACACAGAGGGATAAAACAGAAAAGAGACAGAGTCTATGCCTAGGAATAAAAAGCAAGAAAGGATCAAGGCTACAGAAGAAGTCAGAAGTAGAGCTCAGGGCAGGGTTAGAAAAACACTCTGAATCTTGAAAGAAATACAAAATGCAAACAGGTTTACTAAAAGTCGTAAATACAGTTTTAAAAAAGATGAAACAGAAGGCGTGAGGGAGGTTCTCAGGGAAAAGACAGGCAGAGCACAAGGAGGCAGAAGACCAGGTTAGGGAGAATCCCAGAGGAATGCTAACCTGCACCCTTTCAGTGAGGTACCCATAACCCATTGCTGTTGAGTCGACTCCAGCTCATAGCGACCCTATAGGACAGAGGAGAACTGCCCTATAGGGTTTTCAAGGCCGTAATCTTCACGGGAGCAGACTGCTGCGTCTTTCTCCTGTGAAGCAGCGGGTAGGTTCAAACCGCTGAACTTTGGTTAGCAGCCAAGTGCTTTAACCACTGCACCACCAGGGCTCCTTTAGTGAGGCACAATGGGTCCTAAATATCCTTTGTGCTGTTCAGAAATGTAACTTTCCCTAACTGTCAAGAGAACTATCTCCATTTCCCAAACAGGACCACAGAGCTCTGTCCTGTGTTGCTGAAAAGATACCACCAGTCCCCAAAGTTTTACTTTGAGATTCGAAGACAGACACAAAAAGAAATAAAATGCCAGCACCAAAATCAGAGAGCTGTTCTCTAAGTTTACACTCTGTCTCTACGGCAACTCATAAATTAATGTTTTGAACAAAAGGAAAACTCTCTTACAGCCTGCTGCAGTACTGGGTGGAGAACGGAAATGCACACAGAAGTACATGCAGAATGTGATAGTCACAGGGCAGGTTGACAAGGCCTTACTATAAAAGGAGTCTGAAAACAACAGACATTCAAAGGCAAATTTTGAAAGTCCTAGGGATGAATGATTTAAGGAGCCCTGGTGGTGCAGTAGTTAAAGCACTCAGCTGCTAACTGAAAGTTCTGTGGTTTGTACCCACCAGCTGCTCTGCAGGAGAAAGATGTGGCAGTCTTCCAGTAAAGATTTACAGCCTTGGAAACCCTATGGGCAGTTCTACTCTACCCTCCAGGATCACTATGAGTCAGAATCGACTCGATGGCAGTGGGTTTTAAGGATGATTTTGATTGAAAACACACGCAGCCAAGTCTCTTGCCACCCCTTAATTTAAATGTTTAATAAATATGAATTTATTTTTAAAGCATGTTGTGTACCTTGACTTTAATGGTGAACTTTTTCCCCAGGAAGGACTCCTCAGTCACACATTTCCCCATTATGCCACGGATCTTGTCAGATTAAAACAGTTACCTGAAAATCACACTTATAATAGTAACATTTCATGTGACTTCAGAAAAAAGTCTAGGTAATGGTGATTTTCCTTCTAGTCTTTCATGGTATGTGTTCCTCCAAAATGGATTAGGCTACAATACACACGAAAACAAACCAAAAAAACTTTCTGTGCTGCATGAGCCCTTAGGAAATTAGTAAATGGAACAAAAGGCCTCCTAAATGGTTTGTGTACTTTAGGATCTGAATAGCAGCGGTCACGTTCAACCAGTTCTATCCCTCTCTTTTAACAGGAAAAGCTATTTTTAAAACAAATTTTACTATGCTTTAGGTGAAAGTCTACAGTGCAAACTAGTTTCTCATTAAAAAATTCATACACAAATTGTTCTGTGACGTTGCTTGCAATCCCCACAATGTGTCAACACTCCTCCCCTTTCCCTTTCCCTTTCCCTTTCCACTCTGGGTTCCTTGTATCCGTTCATCTAGGTTTCCTGTCCCTTCCTGCCTTCTCGTCTTTGCTTTTGGGCAGGTGTTGCCTATTTGGTCTCATGTACTTGATTGAACTAAGAAACACATTCCTCGCATGTATTATTATTTGCTTTATAGGCCTGTTTAATCTTTGGCTGAAAGGCAGACTTCAGGAGTGGCTTCAGTTCTGAGTTAGCAGGGTGTCCCCGGGGGCCATAGGGAAAAGAGATTTTAACAGTTACAAAGTTAAATAAAGGGCTTGCCAGATCTATTTGTTGTTTATTAACAAACAGTGGCAAAACATTTCTCTGTACAGTGAGTAAGTGTGTATCTAAAAACTGAGCCTCCAAGTTTTAAATAAAGAGGGATTGTTCTCTGGAAAAAGATAATAAGCACTTCTTTTGGAGCCACGGAGTGAAGTCATCACTTCGCTTTTCTCCCGTCAGAGAAGAGACAGGAAATGCCATCTCTAGAGACACAGAGAATGTGCCTTACTTTCTCCTGTAATAAGATGCTTTTAGTTCCTTTTAACACATAATAATAGACTCAAAAATGCCTGATGGTATCTGGGGGTGATGGCTAAACTTCTTTTCATTTCAACTTTTAGTCGAGCCTTAGTCTGTACAAATGAAAGCATCCTTCCGAAAAAGATTTTTTCTTTTGAGATTTCCCAGTGATCGGGGTAGTTAAGATAAAAATCACAGAAAACCTAAAACAGGCAAGCATTAACTTAAAGATTTTGCCGCACTGTTAGAAACTGTACTTAGGCTAAATAGACAAACTGTGAGACTGTTTAGTATTCACAGTCTACAATTTGGTACA